CAGCTGCGGTAGACAAAATGGAACCAGTCAATGAACAAACTTCAAGAGGCTTCATGGTAGTTGTAACAGCAACAATCCAATAATCTTGATTTGAACGCTGGAAATAAGTAGACGGTGCCAACTAACGCTAATCTGACTAGTTCCTACGTTCTACTGTACAGCTTCCGAGCTTCCGCGAGTGACGCACAGTCAAAGGTTGGATCAAAATATCAAAACACGGTTTGTAGTAAACCAGCGGCAGATTCGTAACAAAACCTGTGGTGCTATCAAAGCAACAATAAGTTATACCGAAACTACAAAAATACCTCAACGGTGCCGTTGGGTAAGTATGCAGTCCAAACGTTCTTGGGCACAAATACGTACTATACGGTGACAACTGGTTAAATGAATACAATTATTAAGTACCTGATAGTCAATAAGAATATTCCCAACAAAGAGGATCAAAAACTCTGTCCACCAGAATCAAATCAATGAACAAGCGTTTCCGGTAGCCGGTCAACAGATAAACAGTCAAACCACAGTACAACAGTAGGTTGAACCGGGGCAAAATGTCGGGCGCAGCAAAACAATATCACGTTGTCAACAGTCCAGCGTCACATAATAAGAAAGTGAAACATTCATGATAAGTCTCATTCACAAAAAGGCAACTAATGAGCGCAAAGTCAAAGAAGACAGTCAGACAACCAAATAACATTACATCGGCTAGGGCCAGAGGCACAATATCCAAAACGAGGATAAAAATATTCGAATAGATGTCAATACTATCGAATAGGGTGATCAGGAGGGATTTTCGGATCATTTTTGCTTTATGCCGGCTGCCAAAACCCCTCGAGGCAGGCAAAACACCTTCCCATGCATTCACCCGTGGCTCTTTCTACGTATCTACCTCCATGCTCTGTCTTTCTTCCACTCCCTCAAGAAGACAAAACTTTAGTATGCCGCTTCTCACGGTACCTTCCTTCATGCACACCATCGACTTTCTTACCAGACCATCTCCGTCCTTCTCGCAAGTTTCGACAACTCCCAAAGGCCAGAGACCACGTGGTGTCTTTTCAGAGGCCACAAGCACCGCATCTCCTTTCTTGAAATTTCTCTTCCTTCCTAACCACTTCCGACGGGCTTGCAAGCACGGTAGATACTCTTTCATTTGTAGGCGCCAAGATACACCAGCCAAGTATTCGACTTGTCTCCAATGTCTCACGTACTTATCGGCCCTAGTACCCCCCACAACCGTTCCCGCACCATCTTTCAACAACAGTAAGCTATTGGGGGTGAGTCCTGGGTTGTCTTTTGGGCTGGCCGTCATGAGGACGACAGGACGATAGTTCAAAATTCTTTCCATCCCCACGTAGTAGGTGGCTAACGCATCATCATGCAGAGTCCGCTCTTTAGATATAACCGTCAATAATCTGCCTACAGACTGCATCATCCTTTCCCGCACCCCACCCGGGTTGCCCGCTTATAATGGTAATAATATACGTTTCATACAACGAAGGTCACTTGAATGCAAACCATTTTACGGGTTTGATCATTTTAGTGATGAGAAATGACTACTATGTAAAATGTTAAGCTATACATTAGATACCATTATTTGTGGCATATAAGAGGTGTACTGAAGCAGGCTCAGTTCGAATTTAGGGATTATTCGGTTATTGTTTGGATCTTCCAATATTCTTGAAGGTGAGGCCCCATCATAGTCATGACCTTGAGGTGTGCGCTTTCTTCATAAGGCTTTGATGGCATGGTGCAAACTGAAAAATGCGATTTCTAGGATTCCGTTTGAATGCAGGACTGGTTAGGTAAACCTGAAAAGTGAACAAAAAAGCGAGCAGCAGGCGAAATTCGAAACAGGAGCACGAAAATAAGCAGGAGCAGATCAACCATGACACGTCTGGGTGAGTTCTTTGTACTGACTACAAAACTTACTTGAAGGAGTATCCAGAACCAACTGTTTAGAGGTAAGCTTAGATGGAAAATGATGAAAGTGCGCCCGACGGTAATAAAAATTAGTCTGAAGCCAAAGATATCACTACGAAATAGAGAGATTGGAGGATTTTGGACCAGGTATTCACTTGTTAATGCTTATGTACAAAAGTTTGGTGAAGTTATAAACATTTAAGTAAAATTCGTGGTTTCTCCTAAGACGGTGACTACCCTTCATCTGGTCACGGAGGGGGGGATGATCATGGTGTTGCCTGTTGAGTATTATCATATCGGGCTAACGAAGAAATATCGTGGTGCAGGGTGCTTACATGTAAGTACTGATAACAAGGGGCAAATAATGAAACATGTTACATCCGATGAAAATGCACCGATAGACAGTTCTTTTATCTTCTTGGAGTGGGTAGATTATTTTAGGGACGATTTTTAGGAAATAGGTGTTAAGTCGTGAGATCATCTGGGTTTTGAGGAAATGTAGGTTACATTAGAGTAGCTACTGAGTTCACCGTTGCGTATCGTATCGCACTCCGCCTCCTGTTCACTCTTGGTCATTTTTTTAAAGAAATTAGATTTTAACCTAACCAAAGCGTTCAGTTTTCGGCATCGTATACTTTTGTCATTGCTGTTAGTCTCTCTTGAGTTTAGGTACCAGTGGCACCATAGTACATGGTATTACCCTTTGTGGTTTGGCCGTCAACGAATCGTCGAGATTCGTTAGATAGGAGGAATTCACCGAGTAATCGTTGAAACTGGCCGAGAGAACGACATGCTCGTATGGGAGCAGGAAGTTTGTTCCAAAGCATACTGTACTACGTCACGAAAAATTTGCACAGAAGTTTTGAGCGATACTTATTTATTGGGATGATGTTCTCGCAATTACGCAGATTATATGCCTCTGTTGATTTAAAAGTGGTAGCACATTTCGTTTTGAAGTTTCTGAATAAAAGGCAAAAAAGAAATGTTAGGTTGAGCTTCAGGTGTCTCAGCCAGTGATTCTAGTTCTTGTTCTTTTGCATCTTGCTTCGTAAGGAAGTCCTTCGTTATGTATTGGTAGGCGCTTAGCAAAGTTACGTTGAGTGTTCTGTACTTGGGGTGGGTTAAAACTCCATCGCATCCCCTTCGTCATCATAGGCTCGTCAATTCGCCGCCTACCCACACACCCACTAGTTGTCCCAGTTCCGAGATTGCCCCAACAAAGTTAGGACCATTATCACTGTATATCTCCGCAGGGGTTTCTCCTCTTCCTACAAACCTCATTGCAGACATTATGAAGGTGTTGGTGCCTAGGTTGAAAGCTGCTTCTAAATGAATGGCTTGCTTCTGAAGACAAGTAAACACACACCCTTGCCTCTTTTCCTCTCTCCTTCCCTGGCGAGCCGTGAATGGTCCAAAATAAGCAACTCCCAGTGACGAGAAGCAAAACCATCCCTTCTGCACTCGACAGACCAGTGCAGGGACCATCATCTGCTGACCCAGTGCAGCTTTCAATCGTCGGCACTCTACGCACTTTCTTATAGCACGTTCAACCTTACTGATCCCCTTGATCATCCGATAGTTTTTGCTTAAATTAGGCAGGACTCGTGAAGTACCAGCATGTCCTTCTATGATATGATGATGCCTTGTGATCAGCTTGATCACGAAGTGATGTCTGGGGAGGATAACTGGATGCCTGAAGGTGGGTGGATAGTCAGAACAGTTCAACATCCCACCGACGCAAATCAATCCATCCACAAGTAAAGGTGACAACCCCTGCAACTCTCGTTTTCAGTCTCACAACTACCCTTTTCTCGGAGTTCATTTATTAACCCTCCATGCACCTCCTGTTGTTCCGTAAATAATACTTCATGTTTAACAGCCTCCAGTTCATCGGCTGTTAGGTAGCCAACATTCGATGGCACACCCTGGCGACGCAAATATACAGCAGATATTCAGACCACATATCTTTTGAGCCAGGCGACAGCTTTAATCAAACTAACCCAGTCCGAATGATATGGCAAAGTTGGGTCCACAGTGAGCTCAGTAATGTTTGCTCTTGTCCTGACTGACCTCTTGAATTCGACAGTGGAGGTCTACAGAACTTGGAAACTCTCGAATTCTCAGAAGTGGGGGGCCCTGAATCCAAGACGCTAAGTCACACGCTCTCTGTATGCCTCTTGAGGTCCAGCCTACAGGATTCCCTCCAGGTTTAATGTACCCACACTGAGTTGGGGATGAATGCTGGCGAATAATGGCTAGATGGTTGGCCACGAACGCACCATACCCACCCCGTATTTCAAATATAGTACTGAACAATCATAGAAGCTGTCCAAAAATAAATCTTGTCAAAGCTATTTGGGGGTTCTTTCTCGGAATTTTACTCATTCGGGCACTCAGTACCGCCGGAGATAGCCCTAATCTCCGCACTGCCACAGTTTTCAGAGGGGCGACCCGGAATTTGCCATACAGCGGTATGCTGTAAGGTGGCGTGCTTTTTGTGACGTCCCACGAATCAGACACCGCTCCAAAACCAGATTCCGAGGCATCGCAAAACAAGTGTAACTCAACCTTACTCATCTCACTCCTATCATCCTTCTTGATACTTCTGGGCGCACATATTTGCCTAAGATTCTGCATGAACATCATCCAATTCATCCACACGGATAGGTCGTTGTAAATCAGAGGTGCGTCCCAACCAATATGAGATCCGCAAAGACTCTGCAATATCTGCTCGGCTGGAAGGCAAACAGGGGCGAACAAACCTAGTGGGTCAAAACGGCCGGGAGGGTGGATAACTGTCCTCCCTTCGTGGTGGGTTTTCCAGCGGGTTCAAATCTGAAAATAAAACATCGTGAACGGCATCCCAGTAAGAACTTCAGGCTCTGTGGGCTGAGCCTTGACTAACACGTGGACCGGTTGGGCTCTCTGGTTCGCTTGAACTAGGAAGAACTACTCTAACGGCCTCTGAATAAGTCACCAACATGTTCAGTTGAGAACCACCACTCGACACCAACTCAATTGGTTGCTTCATGAATGTTTTCGCCTCCGCACGGCTCGCAGAGGACGCTAGGCAATCATCAACACAAAAACCATGCTTCACTGCTTCCACCACATAGCTATCATAATCGTTGGCATATACCATTGGGACAGCAAACCTGTGAAGACACTGCGCCGAATGGGTGTGACTTAATTCGCCGTACTCAAGTAAGTAAATAAATATTACATCCTCAAATTAACAGCTTAACATGAGAGAAGCCAGTCTACAAGCATCATCAAATTGATAATGGTAAAGAAATCTCCAGTAGTTGAGCTGTCCTGAATGATACAGAAGGTATCATATCGGGGTTTATCATGATATCAATAGTGACTGCAGGCTATGAAAAGAACGGAAAAATATCACTTCACAGTACATTCCGATTGTTTATGAGTTTCTGTTGTCTCCACTCATGATTCCTTTTACACAATAAAGTGGTACCAAAACCGTGCAATATTCGACGCTTGCGTTACATGTGACCTAGATGGTTAACCTGGCGTTATAGTTCCGTGTTTCGTCAGTTAAACGTTTGTTTCGACATCAGTTCACATGTTTGTAGTGTCGTTGGCCAACGAAAACTCACTTCATCGATTTCATGCAACAGAGAGTGTTAGCATAATCTACGTAGTGTGACCTTACCCAGCAATACAGATGTGGTCCATCAGCATTGGTTGTTGCTGTACAAAGAAATAAACGTTTGGAGGACTATTATCCAATGGTGATGGAGTTTTGCACATAGAATTCACACTGAAGCATACAGGATTATCAAGGAGGTATGTTGACTGTTAATTGTCTTCTATGAAACGGAGTCAAATAAGGTGAAGTATTTGAGTCACTAGGTAAGTTTGTTTCTCAGACTTAGTTGTCTGTCCAGAATTTTGCTGCCATTATGATCGTCCAGAAGCCTTAGGTCATGTGTTGTACTTGGGCTTTCGTACATGGTTGCATCTGGGCTGTTGGTAATTGGGCTAGTTTGCTGTGGAACGTTTCAGAAACTTGAAAATATCAATAGGGGAAGACCAGTTGAAAGATTTTTTCAATAATTTCTGGTATCGGATACGAAGTAGTATATTCAGTAGGTTGACAATTTTGGTCAAAATTATGCTCAAGGTTTTCTCTTCAAACTTAAGCTGAAAGGAGAAGAAAAGGAAAGCACGAGCAGAAGCCAGGTAATGATATACCACGAAATTGGGAGGAGAGAAGTTCCTATATTCTTAGAGACCCTCGAGCTATATGTACACTCTAATTTATGCATATAAAAATGACTCTTATGATTTTCCTACGTGCTGAATCAAGGGTCCTACCCACAAAGTATGCATCCATCCAATTCTAGAATACTACTGAGGTCGAAACAAACGTTTAACTGACGAAACACGGAACTATAACGCCAGGTTAACCATCTAGGTCACATGTAACGCAAGCGTCGAATATTGCACGGTTTTGGTACCACTTTATTGTGTAAAAGGAATCATGAGTGGAGACAACCGAAACTCATAAACAATCGGAATGTACTGTGAAGTGATATTTTTCCGTTCTTTTCATAGCCTGCAGTCACTATTGATATCATGATAAACCCCGATATGATACCTTCTGTATCATTCAGGACAGCTCAACTACTGGAGATTTCTTTACCATTATCAATTTGATGATGCTTGTAGACTGGCTTCTCTCATGTTAAGCTGTTAATTTGAGAATGAAATACTTCTTTATATGATGATAATCGCCTTATTACCTCAGTCACAATGAACTCTTATCTGTTGACCTTCTGCGAGTTGTCGCTTGATAGAGTGTTGATTTCACCAGACAAACAAGCTAACAGGGATAGTTTCCGAAGAGTTCCTTGAATATCCTCTGAGATAACCCCAACACTCGTAGTATGCTTCTCACAACTGAAATTCCCAAACCAGTCACTAAATAGTTCACAAATCGTGACTGTGTCGCTGTGGACTACCTCGTTATGAAGCAAGTATTGTATATCCCTTGTTGTATGAAGGCGCTTCTTCAGAAGTGGTGTTAGACTGTATGCCCTGGAACTAGTTCTAAGAGCTTGTAACCCACCATTTCGGGCTTTCTGTGCACGTTAGCCTTTGACTAATTCCAGGGTATCGTGGATCGCGTGCAGTGAGGAGAAATCCTTAGTGTGGTGGTACAGATTCGACAGTCGCCTGAGCTTTCTACGGTATCGTTGTGATGCCCCGGTTTCGTATAAAACATTGTGATCATGAGGTGCATGCGGTTCGCCAGAAATCCAATTCCTCTGCATCCTTTCCGGCCCGAACACCCCTGGTTCTTCGTCTCCTGTTCGCCATCCCGGCAGCCCATCTAATACTAAAAGAAACACGAAGAAGACCCCACCGTCCCCCTGCTGGCATTGTGGCACTTCGTTAAATCTTGTCTTTATAAGCAGAATAAAGGCAGAGAGTGTAACACCGTGGGTCACAAGGACGGATTTTGCAAGCTGCTCCCATCACACAGAACAGGCAGGTCACAATCCAGTCACCGTCGAAGACTGAAGTCTCGACCAGTCGACAAATCTCTTAGTCTTGCTGCTACTTTTCGAGCACATGCACCGGGACGGAGAAAATATATCACCGTCCAGATAAATAACCATTCGGCATGACTACAAGTCGACACATCTTCCGATATAACGATTATTTCCAAGAAGCTATGGTGGAAGACTGGTCGACCTCCTCCCCAGATGTACGGATCGGAAACGGTCCCAAAAAGCAAAGGTATTAAAGTTTTCTGATTTATTTATTTTTTTTCAAAACGGGGGAGGTGTTGTGATGCCCCAGTTTTGTATAAAACTTTGTTATTGGCCTGATCATTTTAACGTGTCATTCCCACACCATTTTTACGGTATGACTGATAGTCCATTTTCTGCCCCCATTGTAATGTAAATCGCTAATTGGTTAATCTTTGCTCTTATTATGCAAATGCCTCAAATTGAGGACAAAGTCATTTTTCATGTGTGTACTTATTCACGTGTTTTGGGATTGATTACTTATTATGTCCTCGAAGTAGTACACTCTCCCATCTGCCAGCCTCGGTCTTCTCTCTATTCATCCCGAAGTTGCAGTCAGTGGCTCTTGCGTACCAAGTTAGCTGTCAGCTGAGTGCACGTATTATGTTCGTTTCGGAATACATATACCAGTAGCATTCAAGACTTAACAGGTATATGAGTGGAATTTGTTCTGAGTGACAATATGGTCTCACTGTTTTAACAGGAGCAGCAGTATCCAGACACGACTTAATATTCTTGTAAAAATGGAATACCGTGGCTGCTAGTGAGTCAGTGGTAGAACAGTCGTCCCTAGGGGATAACCTAAGAAGCTCTGTGAGCAGTTTCCAGTCCGTACTTTTATAGCAGCGATATTGAATAACTCATAAAGCTTGCTTACCACCCGCGTTTAGTGTTCGGATAGGCAGACAACAGAGTACCATTCTGTGATCGTCAGTTGAGATTTGCTAATGATGCTCTGAGTGGTAAATTTTGAGGATTTTTCTTGAGTGCGTTTGACATCATTTGATACTGGACACCTTCCTTGGAATTATCATCCTGTGACCACCGTTGAGACGGCTTGGCACCACTGTCGCACTGTGAGACGTTCGTCTGCATAGGCATTTTGTTTCTATGACGTTCTGTGGAATCGGTTTTCGGAAAGGCGCAAGTATATACCGACGAATTCCGCGGTCGTGTTTGTTCCCTGATACGTAAGGTCTGTTATCGAATTCCCGGGCTTTTTGACAGCCCGGTCCTGTACAATTCTCACGTTCCATGGCTTCTTGGGCCTAAACACAACGTGATGCGTCAGTTATGATCGTGGGCGCTGGTCAGGATTGAGCTGGGTCCCAGGATCTACTGTTGCATATCCCTTCCCGATGGTCTGTTGCGTGGTGCCAGTGTACTTTTCTCGTATGCTTTCGGGGGGTATTACTCTCTAAACTCTCTAAACTTCGCCTGGCTATTTTGCATTTACCATCCTCAGTCCAAGACTCAACTTTCCTGAGAAAGGGGGCAACGAAATGTCCATTATCCCAACAAGTATCCTTCTCCATTTTGTTCACAGCGGCTCAGCCATCGTGCGATAGCAATTTATCTCCCGAGTACAAATCACTGAACTCATAATCGAAAATTCTCCTCCACTGATCGATTAATAAATCTGGCCGAGACGTACAATTTATAAACCTCTCCATGTGCTCACGAAAGCTTGTCGGACAGAACGCGACTCAACCCAACAATATTCGCACAGCATATCGCCTTTTTCTGCCTCCTAGCCTCTGATCCAGAACCCAGCGAGCTTCAGGTACGTCACAACCAATGAACAGCTAAACTTCCCCGTCTTTTATCTCTGTCCAGGTACTTTAGTGAGATGCGGCCGCTTTGTAATACTTTTCCCGCTTCAACCTTTTGGGTCTCCGTACTGGGAGATCCCTTGCCATAATTGCCCGGTCTATAAGTATACATTCGTTTCGGTCTAGTGAATAAACTTCAAAAGGCTTGCTGAGTGAGCTCTCCACTCTACTTCCGCCAACAATTTCGATGAAACTCTTTATACCGTCAGTCGGCAATCCTAGAAGTTGCAAAATATCTTTCGTGATCAAGGTTGTATCAGAGCCATTGTCCAAGAGGGCATAACCGCGAGCCTTTTTATTACCGTGCTTTACGCGTACCGGGAGTAGGCCCAAACACATGCCCTCTTTGAGAGACTCAATACATCCGAAACTAGCTTTCTCCAGCTGTTCGCTTACGGCACAGTGGGTCTTATGTAGCAGAAGGTGATGGGGTGCTTTACAACCTTCCAGACTGCGTGCCTTGTGGATTTTACATTCCACTGACCTGTGGCCTTTTTTAGGACGAGAAAAACAACAACCCATTTTCTTCGGCCTTCGACCATCTCTCATCCACTGGTAGCGCCAGGGCTGTGGCACAGTATGTGACTACGTGTCCTCCTTCACAAATTCTACATGAAGGTTTCATGACTTCCTCAGCCAGAGCTAACTGCTGCGTGGAACATATTATTTTACTGCTCGATCGTCGATTGCTTGCTGCCAACTCTCTGGACCTACTTAGCTGGCACAAACTGTGTCAGCTCTGCGAACGTGGGTTTACGTTCGTTCTTGGTTTAGTTTTCGATAATCTCTACCCATTTCATCTGTAACACAGGGG